AAGAGTTAACATCACAAGGTGTCTACCACAAGTAAACATTACGGAGTATATCACATATTTAGTAGAATGCCTGGCTTAAATGGCAGTTTAAAATCAAAGCAATTAAATAAAAGCATTTTAGACAATCAGTATTACATAAAGAGAAATTTAAACTAAAAACTCTAGAACCCCCTAAAGCATTAATGCATTATTAAACAAAACTCCATTTTTTCCAAAAAAAAGGCATAAGGATAAGACTACAAAATACTTGAGTAAATTTTAGTCAGCAGTCATTAAAAAGTTCAAATTTCTATTTTTTTCATCATCTTCACATTAAATTCAACAGTATCATTTGTTCACAAAGTGTTTTTTTAAAATCTGAGCCATACTGCTAGGTGACATGAAGCCCTCTTAAATTTGTTAAAATTATATAAGACAACTGTCTTATCAAGTAAAAAGTAGTCATGTATATGGATTCTATCACCTTGAAATCAACAGTCCTGAAGTGGTCAAGTTACTACATTTTTTTTTTTAATGACCTAAATAAGGTAATAGGGAATTACAAAAAAACAAACAAAAAAGTTCCAAAAGCTACAAGACAAACTACTTCCACTGAAGAAAAGGAGAACTTCCTTCTGGACTGCAAAATGTTATATTCTCAGAACAGAACCTATATACAATTGGTCCTACTCTTGCTTCTTGAATTCCAATTGAATGTCAAAGTAAAGGAAGAGCTTGGAAAGCTAGCACAAGCCTCCCTGGCCATCAGGGAAGACAGAAGACCTAAGCACTGGAAGTGACTGCTGTAGTTTTACCACCATAAAATAAACAGCAAAGGCAGAGGAGATGTATCCAGAAGGAAGACACACATCACAAGGAATTTGGACCCCAAGCACTGGAAAGGTTTGCCCTCAACATCAAATTCAGGGTAAGTCAACTCTATCTCTACCTACCTACCGTTTGCAAGTAAGACATTAAGTAAGAGAGATGGAAAAGTACCTAACTAGACAGGTGAATTTTATATATTTTTAATTTCTATTGGATAGTACATTCTATTGAACAATTCGAAATTCAACCATTTGGGCATTTACATCTCTGATAACTAAGTCCAAGTTCAGACTAGAATCCAACACTCAAGGAAAAGTGGCCTTCCGACAGGGTTCTTCAACATCCTGTAGCAATTACTGAAATTTAAGAATGATTATTTCATACTTCAGGCCAATTTCAGGAGTGAAAAACTAAATCCATCAATAACAGCAAATGTCCTTTTAGAATAGGCTTTATAATGATCTAAAACACTACCAACCTGAACTGTTACTGGTGAACTTTCCAGTTTCTAAACCAATTACCAGTATCTTTGGAAGTTAGTTGAATTCCAAGAGCTCAACTCCACATACACTTTTCATATATATATGACAAATATCTTCCCCTTCTGCCCACTAAGTATCTAGTCTTTTTACTTAGAACTGTATTGCTTATTATTACAGTAATGTAAGGTTTAGGGTCATCAGTGCAACATTAACTCTGAAAGAATGGTACTTGTTAAAGGGGAGCGGGGAGAAAAGAAGAGCTAGAAGACCTATAGTTCCATAACTTGGGAAGCTGAGATGGGAGAATCACTTGAGCCAAGAATCTGAGATCATGCTGTGCAAACCAGTAAGACCTTGTCTCACAAGAAAGGTGAAGCGTGAACACATGAATACACACATAGGATACACTTAAAACACTGGAAGAGCCAATGTGAGTCACTGTGGGCAGTCACAAGGATCTCAACTCTTGCTATAATCTTGCTTCATTACAAAACGTTTTGACTTCTAAATAACCTCAAAAAGAAAATATTTATGACTCCCAATTCCAAGAGCTGATGTCTTCTCTAGCTACAGGGTACCACTAACTGCAGTTACTCAGCAACTGTGATATTCCAAAATTAATTCCAGTTAACAAGTCAGAGGAGAGACCTGTAAAGTCTAATTACACAAAATTTTCAACCTAGAAATGAACTTGACAAGGCATTACAATTCACTCAGAAAACTTGCTAGAAAAATGTTACAAGGTTAAGTCATTAATTAGAGTATGTGGTGCAGCCTCCAAAAGACTCTCCAGAGTGTCTATGAGTTGGGCAAGTCAGGAAAAACAGTTTTGCAAGTGATCTCTTCAGGCATTAACATCCAGCTGCACCAACAGTCCTTCGCTAGTGATTAGCTGTGCAAGGGCAAACCTCCAGCCTCAAGTAGGCTTATCCCTGGGCAGAGAAGGAAAACAGGCTTCACATTTCTATCTCACATAGTTTCTTTTTTGTTTTTTGTTTTTAAGAGAAATGTTTTAGAACAGTACTAAATTTGTTTTGGTTTGGGAGACAGGATCATACTAGCTTCAAGCTCACTACGCAGCTAATGACCCTGAACTGCTGATCCTCCAGCTTCCACCCCTGGTGCTAAGATTATACCACAAGGGGTTTAATGCAAACTTCTGATCCACATATTGCAGATCAAGTCCCTTAACGGTGAAATAGTATAACACATGGCTCTCACCTTAGTACACACCATACAGGTATGTACTAAGAATGTACTTAAGACTTAAGAATGTACAAACAGTATTTTGGGCTGCTACAAAATCTATGTCTTTCAATTGTGACTATTCTCACATGGTGCTTTCTATTTCAAAAATATGGGAAAACAATAATATGCAACAGAAAAAATTTATAAACCTCAATTTCTTAGCGAATTGTTATCCTGGTGTAAATCTTCACTTTCAAACCTAAGCTTTGAATAAGCCCAAGTTCTAACTTTTTTAGTTTGTTCCCACTACTTAAGTAACTCAGTGTTCCCCCGCATACTAAAAATATTTGTGTCACAAATACAGCTAATGCCAAATGAGTTTAAAACAAACAAACAACAAAATATACACCCTCCTGCTTTGCAATAAAATAATTCAGTGGTTATTCCAGAAGTCTAAATCTTAATACTGCAATAGACACAGTTGTAACTCATAAATATCTTAACACAGACCAACATCTTCCATACTTAGGAGCACAAAACAGGACTAAAAAGCAGTTGTTTTCCAACTAGCTGATGGTAAATATGCCAAAATATTTCCCACCCTAAAAAACAAGCCTCTTTATTACATTTAATTATAAGATTTAGTAGTTGAATACTAGGTATTCAAGAATGAAAAAGTTATACAATAGAGAATACGAAAGCCTCAAATATACTCTAATGGTATACTTCTCTCAACTATTCAAAGACTTACCAACTACGTACCTTCAAATCAGACTGTGGTGACAAATGGCGACATTCTGCTTATCTTTCCAATACCAAGATATAGTTAAGAATGGAAAACAAAGCCACACTGATTTGAGCAAAACAGATGACACAACCAAATAATAAAACGGGCATCAAATGACGTGTGTGTGAAGAACTGCTCGTCTCAATGTATCTTCGGGAGAAATGTGAGGTGGGAAGTGGGGAAACAAAGTGAGTCTGCAACTTACAACATGTGCAATGGAGTGATGGTTAAAGCATAATTTTCGCTAAGTCACATACTTATTCCAGAAGAGAAAAACATTCTCTTCACCATCATGAGCATATTCCTGACCCAGGAATTTAAAATTAAAATGGAATTTTGGCCTAGAAAGCAATGAAAGTTCTAATATGGGCTGTGATTCTTTATCTCAAAAACAAACAAAATAGCATCGGACATTCACATGAGATGACTTTAAGGTCCATGGAAGATGGTCCCTTTTCCATAACTGCAAATTCTTGTCTCTTGGTATTTCTGTATACTCGCTAATTAACTGAACCTCATTAGGCAGATAACAACGATGGTTCACTCAGGAGACACCCGCAACCTCAGAACCAAAAGTATTTCAAATGGAGACCTATTTGACTGGCGAGGAGGGGGCAGGCTGGGAGAAGGGAGGTACCAGGCACACGGGTGGGGGCTGCAGGTCAGAGCAGCTGCGTCCAGTTTTACACTTACTGGTTTGCTAGGGTACACGTTAGATAGATGCGTTTTTAGTTTCCCCACGGTCCAGTTCAAGAAGCAGCTAATAGTCTGGTCACTGTATTTCTGATTCGGTGCTTTAATGACGAGAGTCACAGGAATCTCCATCCCACTCTGGTCCATGGTGCTCTCCAAGTCGGGCAGTCTAGCGGCGCTGCAGCTAAGCCCTCACGGGGCGGGCACGGCTGGGATGGTGGGGACAGACGTGAGTCCTCAATATTCTGGGTCCAAATCAGTCACAAGCACATCGGGCGATACATAGGCCATTGCCGATACCAACGATGGACGGTGGCGGTGGTGGCGGCAGGCTCTGGGTGCCGGGCCGGGGGTGCGGCTGTCCCCGCCAGGTCTGGGCTCCGCCTGGCTCCGGACTGCGGAGGAAGGCGGGCGGGCAGGCGACCTGGGGAGGACGCGAAGGAGAAGCCCCCGGGGGACCGCTCAGCGCCCCGCCCCTGCCTCCGCGACCCCCGAGATGAAACGCAACAAGGCCCTACGCGAGCCGCCGCGCGGCCTGAGCGGCTGAAGGCGGCGGCCGGAGGGCGAGCCTCAGAGAAGCGGGGCGGCGGCCGGAGGGCGAGCCTCGGAGAAGGAAGGCGGCGGCCGGGGTGCGAGCCTGGAAGAAGGCAGCGGCCGGGGTGCGAGCCTGGGGGGGGCAAGCAAGGCCGCGGCCGAGGGCGAGCCTGAGGAAGCAAGGCTGTGGCTCACGGCGAGCCTGGAGGAAGGCAGGCCGCCCCTGCTGCTCCGCGGCTCCGCGGCGCTCGCCCTCCCGGTGTCCGGGGCGGGGCGGCGCGGTGGCGGTGGACTACTCCGGCCCTCCCGATCGCGGCCGGGCGGCAGGTGGCAGGGGGAGGGCGGGGACAGGGCCGCGGCGCCGCGCGAGCGAGCGAGAGCCCGGAACTGTTGTTGTCAGGAGGGCCGGGGTCCCGGGTAAGCCGGAAGGCGCGAGGCGGAAGTGCGTCACGCCGCGGCACTCCCTTTGACCCGGCCCGGTTAGCCCCGCCCCCCCGGGCCAGCCGGGCCTCCGAGTGGGCCGGTGTGCTCCCCGGTCCCCCCGCCGCGAGGCGCCACCCCTGGCGTGTGGCTGGCACTGGTGCACCCCGCCTTCACCACACCCCCGGAAGTGGTGGAAGGGCTCTGTCCCACGAGCTGGCTCGGCAGAGTTAATAATACCATATCCTTCCTGAGGCTGAGTCCAAACTTAGGCTCTGGTTTTTCCTCTGTGTCAGCTGCCTGCCCAGCCAGTGCCACGTCGCGCAGGGAGCTCCGACTCCAACCTGCGCTCACCTCGGCTCTGTGCAGCTCTGGTTAACCGTTTCTGAGCCTGGGCATGGGAGCCGAGGCTGCCCGTCCTACTGCATGACAATGCGTCAGTGGGCTGTGAGTGGAGAAAGCCAGACGTGTCGTCTCTAGCCTGGCTGTCTCGCAAACCTCCGCCTGCCACGGTTCCTCTTAATGCTCACAAAATGTGTCAAGTTCTTGCATCAGCCGTGTGTTCAGGGACAGCGGGACGTGAAGACGGATGGTAGTGCTCGGCTTCTGTCTTGCAGTTTAGACATGGCAATGTGAGGATGAGTCCATTGTTGCACCCTGCCCTGTTCATGTTTGCAGTGGTTTAGGAGTCCACGCAGTAAAGTTTGTTCGATGTGCATTTTCACAGCTCCAGGGTTCCACTTGAAGGGAGGGGTTTTCAGGAACTGGTCTCTTCCTTTGCCCTTAGGAAGGACTTGAAGTTACTACTGGATTAGTGACCAAGGGGAAATTCTTCTCAGTGGTTAAATAGGAATACCCTACACCAGCAGTTTTCAACTTGTGAGTCGTGATGACGCCCTTCACAGGGGTCGTATCAGACATTTACATTAAGATTCATAACTAGCAAAATTACAGTTCTGAAACAGCAATGAAAATAATTTTATGGTTGGGGGTCACAACATGAGGAACTGTATTAAAGGCTTGAAGCATTAGGAAGGGTGAGAACGACTGCCCTACATCTTCCTTCCCCATACTACCTTGCATTTATGTTAGGACACCCTTGATACTGTAGCTGTACTGTCTCAAATTCCATTCTCTAGTAAGAGTGAAACCTCCATTCCCAGTCACTGTGACCATAGCCCCCTAGACTCCAAGTTTTCTATAAGACTGTTCTTTATTTACCGAGTCACCCCGTGGGACTTTAATTCTAGCTAAAAAGAGTTTTTCAGATTTCCTTAAAGCTAGTGGCTATTTGACTTTGAATCGCTTATATATGTTCATGAGGGACATGAAAAAACAAAAACCCACAAAGAGGGAAATGAATAAATGTCAGAACGACTATTGGAGGCTGGGTCCTTAATGACATTGTGATCTGTCTTTATAAGATTTATGTCAGAATCCTGTTGAATCCAGGAACTCCCTACAACCCCCACCAACCAATTCTGCAGCTCCTGTCATGTAGGCTTGTGACTTGGGCTTCTAGGAATCCTTTAGAGTTGATGTAACCATCTCATGCAGCACTATAAGATACATATCAGCCACAAAATGTTCATAATTACTAAGACAGTAAGGCATTTCACAGTGGTAAGTAGAGTCCATCAAAGGTTTACTAGCATAGACAAAAACATTCAAAACAAAATCAAGAAATTAAAATATATGTTATATGAGATGATTTTAAACTTTATAAACTTGTATTAAGAGGTTTCCTAAAACTAGTTTTGCTCTTGTTGAACTGGATCAAATGAGGCATGTCACATAAATACTCCATTTTTTTAAATGTGTAGGTATAGAATAACATTGGAAATGGTGGTCCCAGAATATTGGTACTGTGACTTGGAGTTTGGGATGACCAAATGGTAGCACTAACATGCTGCTTAAAATTCTCTTTACATGTGGTAGATAAAATTTTGAAATACAAAAGAACAATTATATGTGTCACTTATACTTGGTTACTAAAGACAAATTCTAAGACAAACACTTGGTTTTTGTTCATTTATTTGGTCTTGGTGGGTTTTGTTTTGTTGTCCCCATTGTTTGTTAAGAGTACAGTGTTAACAGATAATGAAAATTTTGTTACTGTTGATTAATGTTCTCCAACAGTATTAACTTTTCTGTTATACATCCGCTAGTGGTTAAGGTTGATTTCTGAAGTCCATGGAGTAGCACTACTGAAAATAAAAGTGAAAGAGAGATTTAAGCAAAATTAGTTTTAAATAGCAAAGAGTGATTTCCAGTATTTATGGAATGCTTACTTCTGATTTCTTTTAATCATCAAGGTAGCGGGCAAAGATAGCTAAAAGGGCATAACTGATTCATTCTATGAGAGTCTAGTTTCTTCTTAAAATTCAAGGAAAATCAAGGCTTTGTATCTGAAATTTGAAGTACCTTCTGGGAACCTAAAATACTCTGAGGATGTTGGTTGGTATATGTTGGATGGATGGCTGGTAGATTGATTACCATCTTGGGATAAACGGCTCTGTCAAGTTATCTTGCAGTTGCCGATTTCAAAGGTGACATTGACCATCTGGCTTCTGATTTCTTCCATTTCCTCTTTCACCATCCTTGGCATTTTTTTTTTTATGATGCTGTGCCACAAAATATCTAATCAAGTCTCAATCAAATGCAATGCTATTTAAAACACACACACACACACACACACACACACACACACACACACACACACACCTGTACTGGAAGCCTATCAAATTTAGTTCATTTCAGCGCTATTTTTAAAAATCCTAATTGGTCTCAGATGTTTGATTATAAACCATCTTGTAGAAAATGGAAAAGAGCTGGCCCAGTAGTACATACCCATAGTTCCAGCTGTGGAGCCGAGGATCTATAGAGCTCAAGAGTTCAAGACCCTGTCCCCCACCCACATCGACAACTGAGGCAAATGGGAGAACTGTCCCTGAGGTCAGAAGAGCAGAGCAGGAGAGCTGTCCCTGTCCCTCATCAGCTGCAGCACTGGGGAGAATGGCTCTTACACCTCCCTAGACAACACAGCAGAGCTGGAGGTGTAGGTATAGGAGAACCAACCAGGTTGTGAAAGCCTGAGAATGGGCCCGCCCCTTGCTCATCGATGCTAAGGGTGAACTAGCCAGGGCAAAGCTGGAGAGCCCATCCTGGCAGCTAAGACAGGGAAGAACTGGCAGCTGACCAACGCTGCAACTATCCAGGCCCAGATCCACCCCATCTGTGATCTGCTGGAGCAGGAGGTGGGAGGGAGACGAGGGGGGGGGGTGCCAGTCCTGTGGACCCAGGGCTGCAGGATCTCCATGACACAGGGCAGCAACAGGATGTCCAGGAAGAGTCCCAGTGAGGGCCCAGAGTCGATGGTGTAGCAGAGACCAAGGGCCTTGAACCAGCCCAATGATTCTTTTCAATAAATGCCTGCAGGCAAAAATATATGGCTAAAGAGGTTTGCTGCATGACTCACTGTCACACTGCAGCTTCCATGACAGCTTTTCCCCTTCTCCTCCCCCCCCCCTTTTTTTCTCTTAAATTTTATTTTGGGGTAAGGAGAGAGATTGATGGGATCAGGAGGCATGATGTGAAAGACACAAAGAATAAATAAAAATAAATTAATTTAAAACAAAGAGTTCAAGACCAGGGCAATTTAACAAACCACCATCTAAAAAATAAAAAAAAAAAAAAAGACATGGATAACAAGGCACATCATCATAAAAGCCTTTTGAAAACATTTTAGAGGCAGCTAGATCAGCATTCCAAATACCACAGGCACTCAGGCACTCTTCCCACATTTCTGAAGGGCTGGGAAACATTTGCAGAGAAAGGAGAATCCTAGTTTTCAGTGTAGCACGGCCAGTCGCATAAACATCCACAGCTGTTATAAGTGAGCTAAAGTCTGCAGTATTAGCATCTGTTGTTAGGCCTACTCTTCCCCTTTGATTAATCTAAAATATGTTTATTCCTGCTTTTTATCGGTGCTATGGACTGAAAGCAGGGTCTCCTGCAAGCTGGGCAAGCACTCTGCCACTGAAATGTGGCACAAAAATGTGTTTATTCCTTTTAAATTCTTTTCACATTCTTTATTCTTTATTTATGATGTGGGGAGGGGCAGATTCTACTCTCTGAGAATATTATCTATGAGCATGTATTAGTTATAAAATAAATTGGCTCCAAACACTGTGGGTTAGAAAGTTGTGAGCTATTTTGTGCTGCTGGTTTGAGACTCTTACTGGCATTGTATCCGCTGATCCCCAGTCATCTCCAAACTCAGTAAACAGAGGAGGGCCAGCTTTGCAAGTACATGATTCACATGGCTTGTGCAATGGTACTGATTATTGGTTAATGTCTAAGTTCTTCTCTGGTTAGGTCTCTTTACAGGACTGCTTGAGTGTCCCACACATGACAGCTAGGTTTCCCTAGAATAAGATGTCCAAGAGACCAGTGCAAAAGCCATAATGCCTGTTATGACAACCTTGGAGATCATTTGGTCACCTCTGTTGTGCTGTGCTGGTCACATTAGCTTGCCCTGATAAGATGTGGGAAGAAGAGTATAGACTCCAGGCAGTGGGGTGTATTGGTCTCTTTTCAGGAAAGCTACCATAATGGACTTACTGAAGCACAGCAGGTCTCTTCTGCCGATGACCAAGAGCAAACCCCAGTGGCTCACAGCTACTCTCCCTTCTGCCCATAGGCTTTTGGGTGTTTCTTTCCTTGATTTCTTAGTCCTACAGCTGACTGTTTCTCAAATGCCTGAAAAGCAACATTCAAATGAAATTGAGACTATAGCATTAAATTTAAACAAGAAAAGAGTTATCAGCCTAACCAGCAGAGGGGAGGTAGTTCTAATCTTCCTTCACAGATAGGCATGCAGGGTGCACATGCTCCTGGATCTTCTAAGGTTTGTATCTGTATATACAGATATCCATTTATATACAGGAGAGTGTCTGGCTCACTTGCAATGCTTTTCAGGGGCCAATGAGATACAGTTCTCATTAGGAGATTTTTTTTTTCAATTAAAAAAAGTGGCCAGTTAACATTATTACTGTAAGATTCCAAATATACCCTCCTTTGTTTGCTGTAAGAAATAGTCAAGTCCTGTGAACACTTGCAGGAATTTAAGCTGTCAATAGAGAGCATTAGAGAGATCTCTACCTGGTGGTATGTTTTCTTTTACTTTTCTCTTTTCTTTCTTTAGGATTTATTTTTATATGTATGAGTGTTCTGCTTGCATGTGTGTGTGTGTGTGTGTGTGTGTGTGTGTGTGTGTGTGTGTGTGTGTTGTATGTCACATGGGTGTCTGAGGAGTTTAGACGATAGATCCCCTGGAACTGGAGTTATGGATGGTTGTGAGCCACCATGTGGGTTCTGGGAATTGAGCCTCCTGCAAGAGACTCTGACAGGTTCGCTCGCTCTTTCTTCCTTTCCTTTTTTTTTTTTTTTGGTTGTTGTTTTGTTTTATTTTTCAGTTTTTCTTACAAGACTGGAACTCACTCTGCAGACCAGGCTGGCCTCAAACTCACAGAGATCTGCCTGCCACTACCTCCCAAGTACTGGGATCAAAGGCATGCACCCCCACACCGGGCTTAGACTGGCTCTTTCAGTACATGAAATCTACAACTCTTTTAGCACCAGATTCCAGCAGTGGCAGTGACCAGTGATACACTGTACCCCTCACCCTCGGCAAACTTTCAGGCAGCTCTACTGGTGGCTTCCTAGTGGAACACCATGGGTGTCCCTCTTAGAACCTTGGATAGCCAGTGGGCCACACTCGCTGGGGTTCTGTATGACTGAGTCATGGTCCTGAGGGGAGGGACCCATCCCTATATATTATTCCTATATTCTTTAGGGTTTTGCATGTTCCTTTCTAGCCATCCCCTTGCTGCCCCTTGTCCTTGTGGTAAGTAGAAATTCTTTGAATTGAACCCTTGTGTTCAAAATAGTGTATGATTTGTCTTTTTTTTTTTTTTTTTTTTATTAAACACGAACTAAAACAGAATTGGTTTCAGGGATGACCCCAGGAGATGGACACACAGAGACAAACTGAGAATCAGCTTGGCCATATCCTTTCACTGTGGCCTTTCTCAGTAAGATGTCCTGCTGGGGATCTCTGGGATACAGGGGTGCTGCAATTAGATTTCTTCTCAGTTTGAAGGTGAGATAATGAAGCAACTGGTCACTCGGCTGGGTGTTGCACTCGACATTTTCACCATTACAATAGCTGTAGGATGGCAAGGACAGAGGCCTTGTGCTCTTGAGTAGCTCTAGAAAGAGAACAAGTCCCAGCACCAGCCACAGCCTAAGGCCAGAAACGTCTGTTATAACTGAAAGGAATGTTTTAGTGCTTGCAGACATGGAGTAAGAGGTGCTATTGAAAACCAAACACATTTTATTTTCGGTCTATGTATGGTTTACTGTGTTCCTGAGCTGGTCTCAGATCTTGAATTCAAGCAATCCTCCTACTTTGGCCTCCACAGTACTGGAAATAAGTGCTACCACCCCTAGTTTCAATTTTTAAGAGTTGCTGACGCAGTAATTGGGTGCACAGTTATATCCAAGTTTTGGGTTGAAATTTAGGGCTTGACTATTAGAAGAGAGATGTCTGCTTGGAGCCGGACCAAATTATCAGTCTCAAAACTCCAAGTCACTCGAAGCTTCTAAGATTTTTTACTAGCAAAGTGGCTTTCCCACTGGGTGAGCTTGAAGTCAGCAGCAGCTCACATTCACAACAGTTTTCCCAGCACGGCAGGGCTAACAGAAATACGGCTGAGCTGCACTGTATCTCAGCTGTAGAGTAAGGGGCTGCCTTCTGCAAGAGCAGGAGGGGTGTCAGTGAGAGGACCAACACGGGGGAAGCTCTGGTCACTCTCCCTTCTAGAGCAGGTACACTGCCCGGTGACGGCACTGAAATGAACCTGCTGATGTGGCTGAAGTTGGGGAACAGCACATCAAAAACAGAGACGAGGACCTCTTTTACAGGATGTTGTAAAATGAATCAGAGAGGCTGGCCGCTCTAATCAACGCTAGTGTTTACCCCAGTCGCTGTTACAGAGAATGTAAGGATAGCACAATCCACTTCCTCTCCAGGAGTTTACGATCCAGTAGGAGAAAATGAGACAAACACCCAGTGACTATAAAAACAAAACAGAGGGAGGGAGGTGCCCAGGCCCTTCTGCATTGCCAGCTAAGAGCAGAATAAAGTGAGGAAAAGCACACGATCTGGTATATATTAAAGTGAGCTGGAGCAATTTTCAAAATGCAAACAATAGTTTGACATAGTTTTTCCTCCCCACACTCTTTTCCTCAATATCTCCTACGTTGTATGTTAACATCTCTCCAGTGCCTTTCTTCCAACTCAGACAAGACTCCATTTGCCCTGTAGGGAAACTGACCTTGTAAGACACAAGAACTAGGATCAGACCCAAACTCTCAGGTGTCTGTTTCATACCTGCTAACCCCTCCTTGTCCACTGGGTCATTTTCTCCTTCCTTTGCAGAGCTTTGACTGGCACACGCACACGTCCTCAGCTGTGCCATCCCAGCCCCACTGCCACTCCAGAGGACAGGCTCAGCCTTTCCCTCACACTCTCCACTGCTGCCTCCCATTCTACTTCTGATCTCCACTGCAATTTCCTTACCATGGTGGTAGTTTCCTAACTAAATGTTTTCAAAGTCTAAGGCTAGGCCACGCACAATGCCACAAGCCTCTGAGTGCTCAAGAGGCAGAGGCAGGAGACTCAGCAAATGTTCAAAGGCAGCCTGGTACACATACTGAATTCTAGGCCAGCCAAGGGCTGCATGCAGAGCAAGACACTGTCTCAAAAACAAAATCCAAACTCTAAGGCCAACTGTAGAATCAGGACAACATTGATTAGTGTGACTGACAAAAGTAAAAAAAAAAAAAAGGGAACTGGCAGGTCAAGTGCTTCAAGTACTGGTATATTCCAAGCCTATTTCATTTATTCATTCTGATCATTCAGTAATCCAAACACACTCTTTGCTTTCTATCTCATCTTGAAAACATTTCTAAAACCATACAAACCACTTAAATATTTATATAACTAGTCAAGAGAAAATGCCAATTTTTTCTGAGAACAGTCTCGGCTGGGTTCACATATTTTGCCTTCATAGTCTCCTTTGTATATTGCTCTTCATGACTTCCTGGGGTTTGTCAACTAAAAGAGTCTTTGAAAATGCAAGTTAGTGAAAATGTGCTGAATTCCAAGTGTTACAAGATGCTGGAACAGCCTCTTGAGCATAGCCTTTGCAATAGTCATTCTTCAAAAATGCAGACGTTTATCCCCAAAGGGCTTTGTGTTTAACGACTTTGATGTCGGTGGGAGAATGCTCAGTTCTGCTGTAGGAATGCATAGCCAAAATCACTGCCACACGTAGAGAAATGTATTATAGGAGCCCTTCCGGACGTGGAGTGTGGGGGTGTTAGGACAGGAGGATCTCTTTGAATCCCTTCAAGATGACCCTGGATGCCGCTTTCAGACCTACACTTGCCACAGCCTCAGAGGCCTCCATGTGAAATGGAGTTTCATGTTAACTGTATGGTAGCTCGTTAATATGCTAATAACCTACCAGGCTTTGGTTAAATGTTGAACTTTAACCATTTTATATCACCATTGCTCCCACATAACCCCTTTTTGCATAGTAATAAATACTATCAATTAAATGATAATTTTCATTTTACATGAGCTGTAGAGAAATGAGTAATTCATTAAGGATCAACCACTTAGTAATTAATAGAACACTTGCTACAAAAAGCCTTATAATTATAGGCTAACTTCTCATTTATTTATATTTAACATCACTCTAAGTACAGTCATGAAGAGCTTTTGTACAACCATTTCATGTCCTCTATCCTGTGTGATGGTAAACATAGTGTGTGTGGAAACATCTTGAGTGTGTTGAGATTAGGATACAGAGTTAAGCAGAAAGACTACAAAATTGCCACATGGACAAAGTTCCAAAGCATGTTGTAACACATGACTCTTCAGACAGCTGCTAGGAGTCTCTTGCTGCTGAAAAAAACATCCTGATTAACTACCAATGTACTTTTTTTTCCAGACAGGGTTTTTCTGTGTAGTTTTACACCTTTCCTGAACTCACTTTGTAGACCAGGCTGGCCTCTAACTCACAGAACAGAGATCCACCATAGCCAGGTGGTGGTGGCGGTGGCGGCGCACGTCTTTAATCCCAGCAGACCAATGTGCTTCTTAAACACCCCAAAAATAAGGAAAACAGCCACAAGATTCAGCATTCTGTCTGGTTCTTATCTCTTCTACACCTTCTCATTTCAGACTGGCCTTAACAGAGCCACCTTCATGAAGCTCCTTTGGCAAACAGTAATTAATCTGGTAAGAGTTATTGTACATATGTCTGGGATCTTCTAAAAGTGTTACATGCTTGAAACATTTGTATCTAAGAAAGTCATTCTTTGTCTAACATAGACCTTTGATTCATTTCTACAGTAGATCACAGCTTATAACATAATACTCAAAGAAGAAGAAACCTTGAAGCATCCTTCTTATGAACCACATATATTTATAAGGATGCCAAAGAAGCTATAGCAGTGGGTAAGTTTACAGAAAGTCAAAACCAGTTCCCGTGGGATGGTATTCTTTGAGCATTACCATTTCTAAATTGTTTCTCAAGTTGTCATTGAAATTCCTTTGAAGAGCTAGAGAAGTGGCTCAGCCGTTAAGAACACTTGCTGCTCTTCCAGAGGACCAGAGTTCAGTTCCCAGCACCCACTTTAGGTAGCACACAATAACCTGTAACTCCATCTGAAAGGAATCTGACACGTCTGGCCTCCATAGGCACCCACACATACATGGCTTGCATACCTGTGGACACACACACACACATATACATATCTATATATGTGTATATATAGATATATATCTTTAAATTTTTTTCCTTTAGAAATCTTCATTCTGGAGGTATGGTCTTATGTTATAGAAGTCATCTTCTATAAGGGTTTTGGTATTGGCTACAATTTTCCTTGGTTTGAAAGCCTTTTGTAACTTTATAAAATATTTAATTTAATATATGATCTCATCACTCTAAGGCAGCAGCTCTTATTTCTTCATGTCTTCTAGGTTTTATATATATATAATTTATCTATAAGTAATTCATGTACATACAGAGTTTTTTTAAGTAATAATTGTAAATACAGAATTTTATGAATTTATTTATTTATTTATTTTTACCCTAAAAGTGTATTTGTGGAGTCTGAAGGGATGGCTTAGTGGTTAAGAGCACTTGGTGCTCTTGCAGATGACCTGGGTTCAGTTCCCAGCAGCCATATTAGTCTATAACTCCAGCCCCAAGGTATCTAGCACCCTCTTTTGGTCTCCATGAGTACTTCATGCATGTGGTGCATATAAGTACATGCAGGCAGAACACTCATACATATGAAAGAAAAGTTTTAAAATTTGCCAGGTGGTGATGGCACATGCCTTTAATCCCAGCACTCTGGAGGCAGAAGCAAGCCCACTGTGAGTTCGGGGTCAGCCTGGTCTACAGAAATAGTTCCAGGACAGCCAAGGACACATGAAACCCTGTCTCAAAAAGAAAATTTTAATTGTTAAGTATATTTGCAAATTTTTATTCTATATGGCCATACTCATCTACAGATACATACGCATCTAAGCCATAGTTTTATAGCTATACATAGTTTGGAAATGGATGTCGTGTACCAATAAAAGAACTGCTCTTTGACACTAGGACACCTTTCCTCTTAAGCCCTCACCAAGCTCAGACTCAATCTGACATTGGGAAATAAGCAGCTCACCAAAAAATGAGAGGCTGATTAAACAGTCTGAACTAGATTCCATTCCTATACTGAGATGCAAACACTGTCGCTAGGTTTGACCCACTTGCATTAGCCTTTCTGGGCTAGAGGAGTTTCCCTAACAGGTCAGTATATGGCCTCTTTTCCTAGAAAATCATCGCTGTATTGGGAAATGCATGTAGACACGTGTGTATGTGTGTCTATACATACATGTATACATATAAGACAGGAATGAGTGGGCACGCTGCTTCTTGTTTTAATGTTTCTCCGTCTTCTAAATGAATTGATGTAACTTTTTATGATAAAAGCTATTTTAAAAACTAAGCCCACTTAATTCTTCACTCAGCAGCAGTTCCTTAGCTCCTATTAATCTTTTAGTGTCTATATGTGTGTGTGATATACATGTGTCGACATGTGTGAACATGTGTGTAGGTCAGAGGACAACCCTCAGAAGTTAGTTTTCCTTTTACTATGAGATATGGAGATCAAATTTAGGTTGTGAGCTTGTGCATCAAGAGCTTTTACCAATGAGCCTTCTCACTGGCCCTCTTTTTTCTTTTAAAAAAAATGTACTTTACAAATAAATAAAATCAATGTACTTTATAAAAAAAGTTTTTTCACAATCTTTACATTTTGATATATTAATATGTTTTATGTGTGGACAATTTCAGTGAAGTTACAGAGACATTATCAAGTTTTAAATATTTTGTGTCTGTATATGTATTAGGGGTATGTATATATGTTCATGAATGTATATGGTATATAGGTACACATGTGTATGCAGGTGAACCTGTACATGTGTGCATGCATGCAGGTGGACGCCAGAGGTCAACTTCAGGTGTCATTTCTCAGAGCCATCCACCTTGGGGGATGTATGAGTGTTTTACCTGCACGTATGTATGTGCAGCACATACATGCCTGTCACCTGCAGAAGTGAGAAGACATTGACTGAGCTCCTGGAACTAGAGTCCCAGATGGTTGTGAGCCATTATGTGGGTCCTGGGAACTGAACCCAGGCCCAGATCCTCTCTAAGAGCAACAAGCGCTTTAACCCACTGAGCTCTAACTAGCTGGCCACACCTCATTTTTTGAAACAGAGACTGGGACGGAAGGCTTGCCAGTCAGAGTAGCTGGCTGGCCCGCAGGCCCCATGGACCTTCCTCTCCCAGCACTGCGATATCAGAGTTCCCGCCCTGCTGGCTTGTTAGGTGGGTCTTAGGGACCAAGCTCAGGTCCTCTTGCTGGTGTGGCGAGCACTTTACCAGCTGAACCACCTCCTCAAACCTCCAGTTTTAAGTTTCAATTTCAAGTTTCAAATATTAATCTCTTTAAAGAATTCTTCCCTAAATCACAGTTAATGATGAAAAAGGACTCTTCATGTCTAAAAGACATTTTTCCCATCTTTCAAGTGAAAGCCTAGTCTTTTAGTGACATTGAAATCATAGATTTATTACTTATTCTTATGTCATTGAATTTCTACGTAAGTATACTTAATGTCTATTTTCAGGAGGAAATGTACACCCAGAAAACAGGAAACCAACACGGTGAAATGCGGTTGCTGCATTAACCACACCAGCCGCTGGGTGTCTCCATTGCATCACCCCACTCTATCTCTGACGGAAGTTTCCAGTCAAAGAGATGGAGAGCAAAGCTTTATTCACAGTTTTCTTTCTTTATACTTAAAAATATTTTTCACACGTATGAGTGTTTTGATCACATATATTTGCATCGTGTGCATGCCTTGTGTCCGGGGAGGTCAGAAGAAAACATCAGCTCCTCTGGAGCTCAAATTAGGGACCTTGGTGAGCCTCCAGAAGGGTGCTGAGACTCAAACCCAGAACTCTGCAAGAACAAGTGCTCTGAACTGGTGAACTATCTCCAGCAGCTTCACAGAATTCTTAGTTAAGAAGACCCAGCATTTTCCTGTCAGGTAGCCTATTGAGAAACAGTTCTTCCTGTGTGTGTCATATTTTCTTTCATTTTTTGATAACTGGACACTTCATTTGCCAAGGAGAGGAGACCTTTATTGTATCCATTTGTAAATTTGTAAATGTATTTTAATAGCCCAATAATCAAATAAAAACATGAGACCACATGCAGTTCTTTTATACAATTGGAATTCTACATTGCCTCTCACAGTCAAGTGTCATCCAAGTAGCAGCGTTATGCACAAGAAGAAAGCACCGTCACTTACAGATGCCTTCAAAGCACACAGGAAGCACCTGGTGACCTGGAAAAGCTCCCTTCTCTCTTTTTATCTTTCCTTTGCTGCCCTGTCTAAGCTAGGTTGGGCAGACAAGTTTTGAAGAAAGATCATTGTTTAATACAGCTGTACTTTAACCCTGAATCATTCCATTAGTAAAAGGGCATTCTAGAAATTACATAAATGGTATGGTTTGAAGTACCCTTAAATGTGAACTATAATTTAGTGTTGGCTGCAAGCTGATTTACCTGTCTGCTCAGGGAAACTAATGGATGGTAAAGTCAGATGAAAAGAATTTGAATTCCAACAGCAATGAAAGCAGAATTCATTTTTCATTCTATAAACTATAAATAGAGGAACTAAACACAGAATTTGGTGATGACAGAACTCCAAGTGAGAAATTGGAATTTAAATATCAAGTTACCTTCTCAGAGAAAGACAGAGTTCCAAGCTGGATAATATGTAGCTTTAGATAAACTCAAACAGATGAAGAAGTAATGTAGGATCCTAAGCACTAGGATTGGAAATTATTTAATACCATGCAGCTCACAGAATTATCTGCAAAAGAGTAGAATAAGGAATCTGATAGGCTGGCCATAGATAGAAGGTGATCACAACCACCATCTTACCCAAAGAGAAAGCCACATGTAAACTTGAAGCTCTGGTCACATAGGCCAGCCTTAGGGTGGATTGAGTCACTTCTATGGATAATACATATGGCAATAGTATTACAGTTCCTGCCCTCCCCCCAAATCAATGTGGCCAGAATGTGGGAGCCAAGTGGCAACAGGCACATCTACCTATTAACTTCACTATCTTCAGTGGCTTCTGGGATCTTTCTGTGTTTTTGAATGTCTTATTGAATCAGATTCTTTGCAGTGGCTAGACTCCTTAGAATATTATTGAAGTCTTGAATGGGGTTAAATTTATAATTTTTTTTACCATAAGCAGAATTATATTAATAAAACTTGGATTCAAATATGTTTATATGTTCTTAAATGTCTAATGTATTTTTGTGAAGATTCATTTCTAAGGGCTGGGAGTGTTTCTAGCAAATATTCAATCCCTCCTATAGCAACTTGATTCTCTCATTCTTTTTTAAATCATGAAATGTTCCGAGGATACTGTCTTAGTTAGGGTTTCTATTGCTGTGAAGAGACACCATGACCACAGCAACTCTTATGAAGGAAAACATTTAATTGTGGTGGCTTACTTATAGTTCAGAGTCCCATTATCATCATGGTGGGATATGCCAGCATGCAGACAGACATGATGCTGGAGAAGGAGCTGAGAGTTCTTATATCTTGATTCACAGATATCAGGAAGTAGTCTGTCTCACTAGGTATGGCTTGAACATATATGAGATCTCAAAGCTCACCTCCACAGTGACACACTTTCTCCAACAAGGCCATACCTCCTAATAGTGCCACTCCCTTTGGGGGGCCTTTTTCTTTCAAACCACCACATTCCACTCCCTGGCCCCCAAAGGCTTGTAGTCATATCATAATGCAAAAGTACTTTCAGTCCAACTTCAAAAGTCCCCATGGTCTATAATAGTCTCAAACTTATTTACAAGTCTAAAATTCAAAGTCTCTTCTAAGATTCATGCAATCTCTTAACTGTAATCACCTATAAAATAAAAATCAAAGAAATGATCACATAATTCCAACATATAATGGCACAGGATATACATTACCATTCCAAAACATAGGGAAAGGAGCATAGTGAGGAAATACTGGACAGAAGCAACACTGAAAACCAGCTGGACAAACTCCAACCTCTGCATCTCCATGTCTGATGTCAAAGCACTCTTCAGATCTCCAATTCCTTTCAGCTTTGTTGACTGCAACACACCTCTTTCTCCTGGGCTGGTTCCACTCCCTGTTAGCAGCTGTCCTTGGCAGGAATCCCACAGTTCTGGCATCTCCAGTATCTTGGGTTCTCCAAGGTAATCCAGGCTTCAACTTCACAGCTTCACACAATGGTCTCTCTAGGCCTGCTTTCAGGGACACCTCTGACACATGCTTGGCCTCAGCAGCTTTTCTTGGTCACAGAGGCAAGTTTCATAGCCCCCTTTTTGTATCCTTAACTCTAGAACCACCTGACTGAAGCTGCCAAGTCCTGCTGCTCACTGGGGCTGAAACATGGCCCCTCTGTTTAATCACATCTTCACCAGTTTTGTGTTTTCCATGGTTTCCTTCACTGCCTAAACTTTGCTGTTCTGGAACTTGCTCTGTAGACCAGGCTGGGCTTGAACTCTGAAATCTGCCATACTCAGCCTTACTGGTTCTGGGAATGAAAGCATATATCTCCACACTGGGCTCTTTTCACAAGTTGGAAACTCTAGCTGGGTGGGATCTTGCCCTGAGGTCACCACTCCTCTTATTCCGTTTCTTAATCTGTTTATCTCCTTGAAAACAGGATTTAGCTCCACTCCACTTCCTGGTGCTCCTTTTCTCCTCAAACTGTTCTACATTTTGTATTTTTCCTTGTTTAGCTTGATCATTTTCATTATAAATCTTCATTAGAATTACCATTAATAGCCACATGATGGAAGCTATACTAGACTGTTTTGAGAGTTTGGCAGAATAAATCCAAAACTTTTCAATTTAGCCTCAGGCAGACTCTTCGGACAGGGGCAAAAGGCAGCCACATTCTTCACCAAAATATCACAAGAATGATCTCTAGGCAACATACTAAAGTTCTCTCTTCTGAAACCTCTGAGCCAGCCCCCCACAGTTCAAATCAACCTCAGCACCATGTTTTCCATGTTCCTATTAGTATGATCCATTAAATAACACTTAAAACATTCAACTGCTTTTCTAATCTATCGTCCCAAGTTCATATTCCTTCAAACAAAAGCATGTTCCAGGCCTATCACAGCAATACCCCAGTACCTGGGTACCAACTTCTGTCTTAGAGTTTATATTGCTGTGAAAAGACACCATGACCACTGCAACTCTTATGAAAGAAAATACTTAATTGTGGTGGTTCAGAGGTTCAGTCTGTTATCACCATGGCTGGAAGCAAAGCAGCATGCAGGCAGACATGGTGCTGGAGAGGTGGCTGAGAGTTCTTACATCTTGACTCACAACAGGAAGTGGTCTGTTTTCCTGGGCCATTTTCTTTCAAGCCACCACAGGCTCCAATGCTCAAATTTTCCCTGCATTTGCTTATTTACTGGACAGTTTAGGTCTGTGGTTCTCAAGATGTGGGTCAACACCCCTTTGAGGGTCAAACAGTTTATAGGTGTTACCTAAGACCATGGAAAAACACCGAGAATTACATTATGAGTCATACATTAGCAAAATTATAATTATAAAGTAGCAATGAAAATAGTTTTATGGTTGAAGGTCACTACAATAAGGAACCTGTATTAAAAGGCCTCAACATTAGGAAGGTTGAGAACCACTGGTTTAGACATACAAAAAGTGTCATCTAGTGGAAAGAAGGAAGGATTGCATATAATTTTCAGAACCAGCAATGGTTTTAATTTCATCTGTTTGCTATGATGAAACTGATTAAGAAAAAAGCATATTTTCAGACTTTACTACCAGATTTTAAAAGTGTCTGAGCTAATAAGTATTTCCCCAAAAGTTCTTTCATGTATTATGAAGATCAAGGAATGAAAGCTGTGTGGGGAGCAGATTAGTTCCTGAGTCACTGTATATTGTGGACATGAGTGAGCACAGCCATGTCAAGGACCCCAGTGCCTCAGACCCAATGGAAATGGCAAAGCCTTCCCCAAGTAAAGCTCAGAGAAATGACAAAACTTTCCTCTGACCCAAGTAAGAGTGTTGATGAACAATTGACCTTTAGCTAAGACCAGTGCGTGTAAGACTTCAACTGCAGCTTCCTCCTTTCTGACACGTACAGCCTGAGACTGCTCCCTTACAGAGACCTCACACCAAGACTAGCTAACCCCCTCCTCCTTGAGTTGTACATAATAAACCAGCTGAGTTGCTGGGCTCTTTGTGTAATAGGCATCCTCCATCAGAGCCAGCACATCCTACCTAATCCCAGATTTTGTTTTTCACATATGTCTATCATTTCTTTGTAATTGGATGTTTCCTGTTCTGACCACCTGTTCCCAAATACCCAGCAGCAGCCACTTCAAAAATAACTACACAGAGGCTTATATTAATTATAAATGCTTGGCCAATAGCTCAGGCTTGTTACTAACTAGCTCTTACACTTAAATTAACCCATAATTCTGATCTATGTTTAGCCACATGGCTTGGTACCTTTTCTCTTTACAGCTTTCTCATCTTACTTCTCTGTTTGCTGGCCACTCTCTGATTCTGTCCTTCCTCTTCCCAGAATTCTCCTAGTCTGGCTCTCAAGCTTAATTTCTTCCTGCCCAGCTATCGGCCAATCAGCTTTTTATTAGCAAATAAGAGTAATTCATATTCATAGTGTAGAAAAGGACTGTTCCACAGCATTTCTTCACTCCCAAGTCTCCCCAGTCAGATTTTCAAGACCAAGCCATTCAGGACACAGCAGAGCTGGTGAGATGGCTTAGTCAATATAGTGCCTGACTCACAGATGTGTGGACCTGAGTTATTTCCAGTATCTACTAAGTGTAGTAGCACCTGCTTGTAATACCAGCCCTTGGGAGATAGTAGCTGGCCAGCCTAGCCTAATGAGCAAGCCCCAGCTACCAGTGAGAGATGTTAGCTTAAAAGACAAGGTTGACTATTACGATCAATCCACGTGAATCTATTAAATGGGTAACAGAATTTATTAAAATACAGATTGAGGAAATACACTCATGATTACAGAACAGACATCAGAAGTCATCCTCTGATCGGACCAGGAGCGAATCTACCTTATTTAGAAGGGACAGTATTCGTACTGTCAGCAGTCAAGGCAAGGGAAATTCTTTGCCCAGTAGGCCCAGCTGGCCCCACATTGGATGCCACTTCTTACAATCAATCCATGTGAGTCTATTAAATGGGTAACATAATTTATTAAAATATAAATTGAGAAAATATACTTACGATTACAGAACAGAGTAGACAGCAGAAATCATTCTTTGATCTGACCAGGAGCAAATCCACCTCAAGGTCATGTCACCCTTTTCCAACTCCTTATAAGAGGTCACGTACAATGGCAGGAAGCATTCCCTCCTTTGAGCTGTATAGCCCAAGGTCATGGGCAGAGTAAATACCACTACAGTTGATCCCTGACCTTCATGAACACCCAAGAAACACACCCATACCTACCTGCATATGTCTTTGTGTGTGTACATGCATGTGCACACACACATGCACACAGAGATCAGTAAGTGTATTACTACTCTTCAGACTATGAGATGGGCTAAGAGATCTCACACTAGGATTTAGGGATCCTGTATTTGAGTCCTGGCATTGCTACCTTAAGCAATTTATTCAATTCAATTGATTTCTCTCTTTCCTCAGTTGTAAAATTAACCAGTTGGACCAGATGGTTTTTATGATAATTAGTGTTGATCTATGAAATGAATATAAATTATAAAGCCCAAAAATATATATTTAGGTCATGACTTTAGAAGAATTTTAGTTTTGGTGTAAAGTCAATTTTTATTGGAATATATTTATAAGGAAAGTGTATAATGGAATGCTCACTCTTCTAGGATAGAGTAAACATTACTTTAAATTATTATATGGCTATATATTTCTGATTTTTGTCATCAGTACATACCCTATATATCATCCACACCCCTAATCTGTTTACTCTTGAGTCCTTAGTGTTAATTTCTCCTCTAACTATAACATTGCTGATGGAATAAGAGTACAGTTCCATACTAGTTGCACAGGTTCATTATCATATTTGTAGGGGCTCAATGTAGACAAATTATAAAGATTGCCACTGTATAAAATCTGCAGAAGCAGACAGATCTCTATGAATTTGAGGCCAGCTGGTCAACATAGGGAGTAACAGGCAAGCCAAGGCTACATATTGAGACCTTTCCTCAAAAAAAAAAAAAAAAAAAAAAAAGTAAATAA